CCGATGTTGGTCAACAAGAACGAAGCACTGATATAAGATCCTATAGTAAATGGGAACCATCTGCTGATAAGGTGTTCCAAGACTCAGGATTGTGTAGCGCTCCCTGATTGAAAGTGTTCCCTAAATGATGAGGAGAAGAGAGAACCTTTACTGTGACAGTAGGTGCAAGATTGTTGGCATCGTCATCAGAGCTTTCATGACCTGGCTCATCTGAGTTTTCAATCAATTATCTTCCTGCTTGAAGAGATTTCTAACCACGAGCCAAAGCTTGCATGTATATCACTCATAGCTATTCCATAACCGATCCCTAAACAAGTGCAGTAAGAAATCAAGCTGAACCTCTGAGGAGAACACATGGTTTGAGCAAGAATCCCCAATCTTCGAGTATCTGTTATGGATGCATGAATATATAAGGGATGCATGAACGGATGCCATGTCATGTTCCGTCATTTCCAAGGAATTTACGTGCTTTGATTTTGATTTTACGTAAGTAAGGATGGAAAAGTTTGGCACTAGGCTCACAAATACGATTCCTTGGAAATCACAGAACATGTATGTTAAGTATATGGTTAGCCATGTTATGTATGCAAAGGCATGAGATCAAATGGGATCAAGGTTCCATCATTTCTGAATATGATTGCTGCATTGCTTCTGAACCATACGAGTATCATCAAGTCAAAGGTTCATCATAGCTTCCTCACATATAAGAACCAAGTACCATGTAGATCTCCCATTGTACGGGGTCAAGGCTTTTCGAACATTGGATACTGTTGAGCATTTTCTGAATATGTTGGGAACGCCAAGATCGAAGGCCTGAATGAACCTCCAAGTATGCAAATCAGGAGCTCAGAAAATAAATCTGAGAACCGTATAGTCACCAACGGAATACCATATGCATAAGTCACCGACAGAAATCCAGAACGTAACCATTAGAACTAATAACCACCGTCTGATCATAGTCACTATCTGAACATGAGTAACCATTTGAACATGAGTAACCGTCTGAACATAGTCACCATCTGTACCTGTAATAATGATTCCCTCCCTGCTCATGGGTGAAGACTAGATCGGGGTAAGACAATGGTAACTCGAAAATCACGGGCCTGCCTGAAAGTGCTATGGGCTTACCCATAGATGCGGGTGCCGATAGTAATTAATTTGAACCTCATCCGAGCGTGGTATATTACATAACTGCACTAATCGGACCACGTCCTATAGCCGTCATGCCCCCACTCTATTCCTAGTGTCCTATTGCACTCTGGCCTGGGTACTGGGCCTTCTACCTCAATAGTAACATCCTAACCCAATCAAGAAAGAGATAATACAGCAGTAGTATATGGAAAACAGTAAGATGCAATGCACGCATATGCTCAGGTATATACAAAATGAATGAATAAACTGAAATCATAAAATAAACATCCAAAGAAAATATAACAAGAGCTAGGAGCGACTCCGGGATGGACAAGCATTTGGTCGACCTGTCCCCAGTGAAGTCGCCAACTGAAACAATCGGCTAAAAATCATCAAACAATGAAGTCGCCATCGAACGTCTTTTATCCCATATGTAGGGAAAGGTAAACATCGAGAAAATCTGAGAAGGGAGAAGTCGTGGTCTTGGGACCGAGAGATAAGGGTAAGGGAGTCTGTTACGCGAGGGGAAGATATTAGCACCCCACACGCCCGTAGTACTCTATGGTATCCACTCTTGTTATCTATCTTATGGGTGTGTGCAATCTATGCTTATTGTTTACTATATTGTCGAAGGGAGAATGCATGTAAAAGAAATGGAGAAAATAATGTAGGGAAAATAAAAGTTGTTCTCGTTCGGGACCTACCCCGATGCCTACGTATTTCTTTTAAGGAATCAGAGAAGCCGTAGTTCGGCTGTTATGTTTTTTGTTGGTTTGTATTTTTTGTAATGAACAATATTAATTTCTCCTTCTGCCGTAACTCGACCTTCAGAGACTTACGCGTCAGCACAAAAGTGAATTAACATGTTCTTTTGAAAAGGTTTTGAAAGAAAGGCCCGAAGGCAAGAAGAATTTGTATTGGTTGGTGTTTTTGCTTGTAGATAACAGCTAGTTAATCTCAAGAGAGAGATATTAGCCATTTCTCTACTTATTTGTGAAATGAGTCTTTGAGACTTGAACCGTGCCAAGGCTTAGAATGGAAAAACAATAAGATCGAGAAGAGACCCACTTATCATTTCTCATGCTTAACAAAGGCACGATTCTCATCAGTAAATTTTTAAGTATTTTGAAGTTTGTAAGAAAGAAGTTTTTTGTTTTAAATGCATATGCAAAAGAAAGAAAAAGTTAAAGGGAGATTAGCCTATTTCTAAACCTAATGTTATCATACTTCTCATGATCTCTAGAAAGCAATAAAGTGCGAAATGAGATCAACAAGAGAAAATACCAAACAAATATCAACCTGTAGCGAAGCGTATCAAAACAAAGAAACCCGACGATATTCGCGAAAGCTTCACCATTCAAAGAAAAGAGTTAGAAATAAAATGCCCGGAATAAGTATCAACACATCATCGATTGTGAAAATAAATCACAATTGAAATCTCAAACGCATCCGCATATCGCATAATAAACCTACATAGGACTCAAGTCTCAACAAGAAAAGGTGGATCACAAATTTCGAATAATCGGATAACCATGAATTAACTCCTAAAATCAAAATAACAAAATCTAACAAATTTTTATATTTGATTTTATTATTTTTTTTATGTAATGAAAAAGTTCAAGAAAATCTAAACCATCCATAAAATTAATTAAAAGCAACTACTAAGAGAGTAAATCCAGAAGGTGCAAGCCAATAAGCAGGAGGTACAGTAGAAATCTGGTGCTAGGCCCAAAACTAATCCATCAGCATTTTTGTGCATAAGCCATTTAGCTCCAAAAAGATTATCATGGGCTCAGTGCAGAGGATGGCCCGGTCCAATTATATACCAGCAAAAAAATGAAAACCTTCAGCATTATAATTTTCTTTTTACGAAATTCAAAAATTAAAATAATAAATAAATAAATTTAAAAAAATGAAAGAGGAATCAGCGTGAAAACAAAAAAATAATTATGCTCCTTCTCTTCTCTCTCAACCACGACGGCGGTGTCACGATTCTTCTATTCTCTCCTCCATTCATACATCAACCTTCGTCGACTCCAGTTTCTTCAAATTCCGCTTCCTCTGCTTCGCCTTCTTTTCCTTTCTTCTCACCCTGTTTCTATTTGCTCATCCATTCTCTCAAAACACCACCGTGCGGGAACTCACTCCGACAAAGGCGACCTCCGCAAATAAATAACATCTTGATAATAACCTAGCTTCATTTTATCCTCTGAAGACGAACCTCGCCTCAAATTTTGTTGGCCTCTCCTCAGTTGACGAGATCGAAGCTCCAGAAATCACAAACCCTAAGTCTACTAATGTTGGGGATTCAAGCAAATTGGTGAGGTTCAATGCAAGAGATGTTGATCTAACATGGAATTAGAGCGCGCTTTAAAAGTAAACCTGAGAATAATGTTCAGCTTCGGCAATGAGTCATGGTATTTCTTTTCCTCTTTACTTCTTCTTGTGTTCGTCGTTCTCGCGGGTTTTCTTCAGAGTTGAAATGATTGTGTTTCTGTTGCTGAACTCATCTTCCTGCATGAATTTTTGCGATGTTGTTGTTTGTTCTTGTTGTGATGCCTGAGATGTTGTTATGTTGATGCGGAGTGAGAGACTGATTGGAATATTGATGAAGCAGATCAAAGAACGTTGAAGTAGTGATGTGCTTGATGAAGATTGGAAATACGTTGGTGATGATGTGAACCATAGGTATGCAGTTGAAGATGATTGAACGAGGGTGAACATTGAAGAGTGGTTATGGACGCTGAAGAATAAAGTCAAGATTCAAGGGAGATTCTCAAGAGAACGATGGTTGAAGGAATAGGAAGGGAGAGTGAGTGGAGGTTGAAAGAAGGTTGAAGCTGATAATTATCTAGTTTCAGAGAGAACCAGAAGGTGAGCTTTCTGATTTTTCTCAGTAGTTTTTTTTGGTTTAATTCTGTTAATAAAATCCTCCCCTCTACAATCTCTGAATTTCTATTATATAGAGGAAGTTGTGAATGAAAACGGTTATGAAGTTGGTCACAGCTTGAGAGCTTTTTCATTGGATTGAAGGAGTTTGTTAGACTGTTAGGAATTGTTTTTTTTTTTGGAAGTTGAATTTTTTGTTTGAAATTCTATTTTGTTCTTCTGTTATCTCCCGTTGGATGTTAGTTAGTTAGGAGGTTGTTATAGATGGTTGGGTAGTTGGTAATTGGTTAGGAGTTTGGTTGAAGGTTGGTTATTTTGGAAGTTAGTTGGAAATTTCTGTTACAATTCTGTTTTTGACAGTTAGAGGGTTGTTGTAGATTATGGTTAAGCTGGTTAGTTTCTGTTAGTAGTTTTTTTTATAGTTAGTTAAGACTTGGTTTGGAGTTAGTTATGTATAGAGCTCAGAAGTTAGTTGGTTCTGTTATGGGGATGTTAGGAATCTATTAGTTATAGAATTCTGTTAGGATATGAGCTGTAAATTAGTTGTTAGCTTTTAATTCTATCAGAGCGGTTAGTTTCTAACTCTTGATTCTATTTTCCATTGTTTTTTCCGATCTTTCTGTTAGTGAATGCAGCTTAGTCATTGACCTTCTTCTCTTTTTTGTTGTTTTTCTGATTTCTGGTATGAACTAAATGCAGGGATTACTTGCAGTTGGGTTTTCCAAAATTGAGGACTATTGAACTACGTTTATGAACATAGCAGGGTTGTCGTATTTGGGTTCAGATTTGGTGCAGATCTGGAATCTTTTTGACACGACTTCAGCGATCGCATGCAGAGCCGACTGAGTTTGATTGAACATATGTTTATTATGAGTTGGCCCTTCATTCAAGTCCTTGCCAGAAATAAGATTGTCAAGCGACCCTTCCTTCAAGTCCTTCCCTTTTTCTGAATCATCCAAAACGGATAGAGCTTTCTTCAACTATTTAACGAGTTCACCTTCCTCAACTGGAATGTCTAAATCCCATACTTTGAAGATATTCTCAGATGCCTCCTCCATCTCATCATTTGCACAATTCAAATTCCAGGCCTTGAAGATATTCTCAGATGCATGTTCCCTCTCATAAGTTGGCTTTAGGTCTTCATTATAAGTTGGCAGAAAAGGATCTCCTTGGAAAGTCGTCCCAGCCAATTCATCCTCTAGAATTTTATCAGTGCTTGTTTGATTAGCCATTCTTATTAGCTCAACTTTTTGTAAGAAATTTGCATTAGAAGTCGAAGATTCTTGAATATATGGCGAAGTAATGTTTTTCCCCTTACTGTAGTGGTGAGTTTGATTATATTGTCTAGCATCAACCCTGAATGATTTAGATTGGGAACTGATAATATTGGACAAAGCATCCCTGAGAGGGGTCCAATCACTTTCTGAAATATCGGAATCCTTATTTAGGCAGGAATCAACCCAAGCAAGATCTTCAAGAGAAAAAACTCCATTCTGCTGACAAACCATGGGATTGAGAGAGACAGGAGAAGATAAAACTATATTATCTGCTTCTTCAATATCCATTGCTTGTAGAGAGTTGTTTATTCGTTCAAGGTGATTATGCATTTTCTTTAGTGAGAGAAACAAACTTGTATGATAAGTAATTTGAATAGTCAATAAGATCTCGATCCTAAAGAATTCATGACCTCTCCTTTTATATCATGCCTCATATTCCACGATTCAATCCACAAGTCTCTTATCTTGACAAAGCCCTTATTGACGACCTTAAATCATCAAAGATGGACATAAATGATAATGAAAGAATATGATCAAGATTAACATGAAACTTTATTTCTGCTGATCTTCAATTACTGAACATTTATCAACGAATAGAAACCCTGATTTTTAATGAAATTTTCCTTTTCTGAACCAATATTTCTTTTCCTTTTTTCATACCATTATTCAAATGCAACTTGAATGCCTAACACATATTAGATGAAAGTTCAAGGGAGACCTTGGTCCAAAAGTTAATTTTTCAAAGCTTACTTTAACCGAAGTCAACATATCTTATCTACGTATCTTGAACTTGAAATAGCCTTGAATAATTCTTGAATGCCCTTGTACATGCATGAACTTGATATTTGCTCTAAATTCCAAATAACTTGTTTCTCAAGAAATCCACATGAATCTTTTTCTAACCTTGCATGCTTGGTAAATGACCTTTAATCCAATTCTTGAACAAAACTTGAATTCACATGATATTTCTCTTGAAATAATCTAAAGCAAACTCCGTGATCAGAATCCCACCTTCTTGAATGAACCCTAAAGCAAATGACTTATATAATGAGCCATGAAGCGAGCCTAATATTCAATTGATGACTATGAACTAAATGGTCCATAATATCACCCTCTGTCCTTCGTGAGATAATGGATCCAACATGTTGATCCCCATCAATCTTGTATAACAAACAATAAGAGAACCAAACTGCCTTGATCTTAATGAATTTACAATGCCATCCTTATATCACGCCTTATCATCCCATGAACCTCCATTGAAGATGTTGATAAATCCTAATCTTCCATACAAAGTTGTTAGATTTTGATTCTCAAAGCATTGAAATGAAATCCGAAGAAAACAGATTATATCGCAAGTAATCCAATCGACCAGATGAAGAGCTTTGCATTATAAGGCATACAAACCCTAATTCGTGAATAAGGTCCAACTGAATCTTCTTCTCTAGAATAGAACTGTTTCCCGCATAACTAGAGATTCAAGCAACACTTTCCTTCTTATTTGCCAAAGATATATCAATTGAAACCATGATTGTTCATGGACGATATCCCTTGATTATAGCCTTGCCTGATAATCACAACTTCCCAGAGAAACCTCTCTTGAATGGTACATGATTTAGAGAAATAAACCCTAATCAAAGGATGACGTTGAGCACAAGGAGATAATGAATGCCTGATTTAGTAGCCCTTTAGATGACCTCGTAGAACAACTTGGAAATGAACATGAGGATACAGAAAGAAATATGACCAAGATGGCCATGACTTAGAAAACCTAATGAACCTCGGTTGATGAAATGCTGACAAGCATAAACTTGGTGGAGAAACACTCTGACTCTTGTCTTGAATGTATCTGAATGAGTAAGAACCCCCTTAACTTGAAGAGGACGGAACCCTCAATAAGCATAGTTGCAACCCTAATTCCACAGTTCACTGCTTGAAGGATAATCAGAAGAATCATGCTTTATTGGATACGAACACCTTGACGGTTGCGAAACCCTAACATCGCACAGCCACTGAACTTTGAACCTCAAGCGCTTTATTGAATGCAAATGTATGTTAATGACCTAATGGAATATATATAGATGAATGCAAGAGTCTAATCCAGATAGAAGAAATTAGGAGGGCAAAAATTTTGGGGTGCAACAGTTATCCTTGTTATTGTCAGGATGTTTCTTAGTCAGATTCCCAGAGAGGAGTGCTTTCAATTCTTCTTGCCCCTTGTATAGGTTTAGGAACATTTTCATGAACTGAGCCTCTTGAGTTTAGAGATCTATGTTTTCTTGTTTGAGAGCCATTGCTAAAATAAACAGCGAGAACATGAGAGACATGTATTGGAGACTACCTGTTATGGAAGGACATGTATGATATGCAAATATTTTCAAGGATATCGCGGGGTAAACAAGAAAAATGTTAGGCGTTGAACTTTATAGCTTTGATTGAAGCACTTTGTATCGTTGAAGGTCCTTCTATAAGATTCAAGCTCACCATATCAAGTGGGTCATATCCCATGACTCAAGTTGTCACTTTGGTCTTTTGACAGTGTTGCCTAGAGGAAAATGAATCCCCTTGCCCCTTGCTAGACGTCTGCTTTATCATAACCTGCATCACAGACCCTTGAGATCCTTGAAATGGTTAAGGAAATGCTATGGTATGATACTATGATGTGTATGTTATGCATCAAGCAAAAATGCAGGGTAAGAAATTAATTTATTAGATTTATACAAATAGGGTCCTGCAAGGAATACAAATAAATCCCTGCAATGAGTTCAAATTGTTAGGCAAAGAAATCAAACAAGTCATACAAGTAGCCTTAGGTTTAGGTTTTCATGGATTCCATAGGTAAGTACCATCTTGAAGTTTAGTTGGCTCAACCTGTCTTAGAAATAGTAATCGGGTTCTAAGGAGTCTTAATATCACTGATCTTTCTTTATCGAGCATTATTTCAGCTTAGCAATCTTTTCTTGCGGCCGAAACATCTCGAAAGTTTGATCTCAATGAGTGTAGTATCGAGTATCAACTGATTCCCAGCTTTACACCGATGGCGGCTATCTCACTACTTTCTAATGGACAAGTTTGTTCAACTAAGGTTCTAAGGTTCGTTAGTGCTTCACGATACCACGCGGTGGCCCCGTATTCTCCTCGATTTAATACAAGGGATACCGTTACCAACCAAAGTGTCACACCAACGCAGCTATCGCTTCAACCATATCGTTCTATGCGGTACAGTCTCCGCGATCTATTGTTGGTTACCTAAAAGATGCCCCCAGATCTGGGTATAGGATCTTTACAAGAATACCCCAGCAAACCCTCAAAGATAAAGCAGTCAAAGCAAACAAAGAAAGCAATTTAAAAATGATCTAGACCCTAAGGTAAACCCCACTTTATAATTATCTCCAGCAGAGTCGCCAATTCTGTGATACGGTTGGAGAACTGACTGTTAATACTGGTTTGCATTTTGTATTCGCAAATGTGTGGCAAGCAAGAGTTGCCACCGACTTTTCTTTTATCCAACAAAAGAAAGGGTGAAAAGAATAGAAAAAAGACCTTTCGAGAGTTTCTGAGTAACGGGGGTAGATTATGAAAAGGGAAGGTGTTAGCATTCTTTCCATCTGTTGTTTTCTACGGGCTCTTAGATGCTAGCTCATGTTTTTTAAATTGCTTGTGCTTTGTGTGTTTTGAAAATGCCTTAGTGCGGTGATACGCTTTGTGATAACTCTTGTATCATTCCTCAAGAGTGTTGACAAGGCGAATGTTTTTGAAAGTGTCTTTGAAAATATTTTTGTGTAGGTGCAAAAAGTTATTTTGAGCAAGCATCTAAGAACTTATCTACTTATACTCGAAAAGGTCATTCTTTTTCTCCTAACCTTTAGACAGTGCTAACCTACTATTAGTGAGTAGGTATCCCTATCGTTGGATGTGTGTGGGATAGGCGCGGGTCATTGTTATGGTCATAGAAGGCAACACATAGGGATACCTTAGCAGTTTGAAGGGACTGTTATCATATATTTGTAGGCAACATCAAGGGAAACGATCATTTCTCGTAGGAAACTCGAAGGACTTTGAGGGACTATGATCTTTATGATGACATTAACCGAGGGTCTTTGCTAAGGGTATCACTACGTTCGAGGGACATGACCATTGTTTTTCCGAAGGCAACAAGTGAGGTTATCCTAGAGGTGCGAGTGTGTAAATGATTCAGTTTGATTATTTATCTTGCAATTAGGGTTTTCTATCATTCATTTTCATCTTTTCATACAATCCTATTAATCTAAGCTTGCATAAAATATAGTAGCTGAAGGTAAAGGCGGAAATGTAAATTTATGCTATTACAGAGCTTTGGGGAAGTTACATAATAGTGAAGAGTGCGGAAAAGAAATCCTAAAACTATTACATCCCGGAAGCAATTACATGATAATGATACAAAAAAAGCGGGAAAAATAAAGCTATACTATTACAGTTGAACGCGCCCTATACACTTTATCTAGGAAAATAAAAATAAGATGAAAATATCAAAGAAAATGTTTTGGTGATTTTTTATGAAATTAATGAATTATGATAATTAATTAAACAAAACCTAAAAAACCTAATTAATTTTAATTAATAAAAAAATGTTAATTTTGAAAAAAGGTTAATTAAAATAACTAAAACCTAATTAATTTTAATTAATAAAAAAAAGGTTAATTAAAAAATTTAAAACCTAATTAATTTTAATTAAAAAAAGGTTTTAAAAAAAAGCTTATGTTTAATGATTAACAAAAAAATTAAGTTCGCCAAAAAAATAGATAGAGGAAGAAGCATCAATGGAAAATAGGGTTAGAAAATACAAATAATGCAAATGTCAGGGGTGGGTGTTGAACCAAAAATTAATTTAAAACCTAAAATTAAATTAAAAAACCTAAAATTAATTATTCGAGTTTATTAAGAAAAATCAAAGGTTTGTGAAAAATGTTAGGTTTTATGAAAAAAGTTTTAAACAGAAAGAAGGAAAATGGGTAAAAGGATAAATAGAATGGAAGAAAACCAAAACCAATAGGGGTGAGTGTTGAACCCACACCCTTAACCTCCTCAGGATGTATGTCTTACCATGCATTGATTGTTGTTATGATTTGGCCTCAGTGTTTTATAATAACCCTGCATGGGACCATTAAATGGTCTAAATCTGAAGTATTGAATTTCATGAACACATTAAATAAATTAGTATATCATGAAATACAAAGAAATCAAATATATGAAATTTTGTAATGTTAAAACTGATATGGCATGTATGAATGTTTCTACACCCTTTTGATCAT